GTGGTGAATGCCACAAATTCTCCTAAATCACTCGTATGCACAATTTAAGAACAAATCTGTGCGTACGAACGGTTCTTGCATGAGGCCCATTGTTTTTATCAAGAATGTCTCTGTACATTTTTCCACTCATCCTTCCTTCAATTATTTGAAGTTTGCCAGTACCATATGCTGAAAAACAGCCCCACACCATGATGTTCCCACCTCCAAACTTCACTGTTGGTATGGTTAATAACAGGACAGTTTGGTTTTATTTTTGGCCGTGTAGTTGTGTCAGGATAAAATGTTGAAGGTGAGGATGGATTTTATTAATGATTTCTAGTTAAAATCTCCTTCCTAACATGAAGACATCGTAGTTTTCCCAGCAGCTGGAGACGTTGTGCCTTTTTACAGCTGCAGTCTGTGTGTACATATAGATAAAACAAGGCCTCATCAGGGATGGATATAATATAAGATATTTTACTGAGAGACAAACAAGGTTGACTAAAAGAGTTGACGAAGTTCAGGCTAATATCTGTTAGCACTGGGAGTATGAGTTCGGTATTATTCTGAGATTCTACCAGAATTGAAGCACAAAAACAATTAAACTTTAAGAAGTTAATTGTTTAAGATATGTTGGCTGTGGTGACCATTGACTGATTGAATATTTAGTCTGGTGGTCCAGCACATATTTTACTAACAGACAAAACTGACTTCATAAAGTTATGGGCAGAATTTTAAAGATGTGCGGTTTGTTAGAACCATTTTACTGATGAAGTGACTGTAAAAGTAAAACGAGTTGTGTTTTTGTTTGTTTGTTTTCAGGTACTCCCATGATCCCAGTTCACATGGGTGTAGTAACGGCTGCGCCCACAGTGAGTCTGCAGCAGCTGGCCTTGGTTTGGGCCGTGCTCTTCTAAATGACAACAACATTGTTGTTTCACGCTTTAAATGTGTGACAATAAGAGCTGGTTCTAAGATGKAAAACATGTTTGTTGTTGCAGGTTCTGGTCCCAACCACAGTAGCTCTGGTGCAGAACCCTGTCAGCATAAAGAAAGACCCTTCTCTCAGAACCAAGGATCTGGAGGACAGTGGGGGTCCCACCACCACCGTGTTTGTGGGGAACATCTCTGAAAAGGCTTCAGACATGTTGGTCCGTCAGCTCCTGGCGGTGAGTTCTGGACACACAAATGTTGTTGAAAACATGACATGAAACTGCAGCGCTGCCACTGTGTCCACTCCTTTTAATTCTCATTGACTCTTTAATTAAGATAAGTGACAACATTTTCTCCAAAAATCATAATTCAGAATAAAAATGTTGTCCAGTTTATTTTTAACAGTCAACATTGGCTCTTACAGCATCCACTGGTTTTAACTYCACACTGATAATTTTATTTATTTGAAAATAAAGATAGTAAATTTTCAGCTTGTAGTAAGGATACAGGTGGTGATGAGAATTTCACTTGTTTTTGTCCTTTCAGAAAGAGGAGAGCAACTAATGCATCAGTTTAAAATGGGCCAGGAACAATCTAACACCTTAAAATGTCTTAAAAGACTTTGAGTTTGTCAATCCAAACATAAGGCCTTAATTAGCCTTAAAATGTCTTAAATCAATCTTTCAGAGGTCTTAAATTGTTAACATATTTTAAGTAGGATAATTGTAAATTGTCTCAAATATTAAAATAATTGGTAACATGTTATTTTYTAAAATAATTTACAGAATTTCTCTCGTAGGTATTTGTTCTGTGTTAAAATAAACATTTGGGTACAGTTGTCACCAACTGTTTTTTTTCCCTGTGTTTTTATTTATTGTGAATTGGTCTTAAATGTAATTTCCAGTAGCATTAAAGAGGTCTTAAAAGTCTTAAATTGAACTTGCCTTGACCTGTGGGAAGAGTTAAAGCTGTCAGTGCAGGTTTTTATTGTTGATCCACTCATCTACAGAGAGATGATCAGAGCCAAGGACCTGCACAGTGTCCTGTCACAACTCTGGAGCACAACTGGAACATCTGGGAGCACCACCACCTACAGTTAGCTACGATTAAACACAGTTTCCTAACAGAGATAAGTGTAAAGATCAAACAGACCAGTAGAAAGAGTTGGATAAAAATCAAAACATGGTTTCAAAAGTGTGCGAGCGTTTCACAACAACAAACACAAAAATCTGAAGGCAGTCAGCTCCGTGTGTTTTAAACTCTTACAGACATTTTAATGTTTTTAAAATAAGGCTTGAATAGATGCAGAAAGTTGTACATTTACATCCAGTGATTCAATTCCTGATTTTTTTCCAAATGGACTCTATTGTTCACAGGTTATTTTGCTAACAGACACAAACACAGTTAAAAACATTGTAAGTTTGTCTTTCAGATGGTAGCTGACTGTTAAACACTTGTCTATAAGAAGACGTGTGTGTGTGTGTGTGTGTGTGTGTGTGTGTGTGTGTGTGTGTGTGTGTGTGTGTG